ATGCGAGCCTTTCATGTCAAGAAAAAATGTGTTCCTGCCATATGCTATGGACCATTTCTCTCTTTCTCTAAGCATCCATCTTAGCCGGTCATTTTGTTGAAGACCATATTTGTCCAGCAGACCCTCCCAAGCATGAACAAAAGCCTCCTCATTATTGTAGTCATAAATACAACTTCGAAAGTCATCAGAAAAGGATTCCATATCCTTCACTACAAGGCTAAGATGCTCCAGAGCATTTTGGTACATCTGCCAAACACAGATACGATGGCTTGTTTCAGGTAAAATTGAATTGATTGCTTCAACTATTGCTGCATCTTGATCTGTAAGAATGACTTTTGGCTTCTTTCCGGACATTGTCTCAACAAATGTATTAAACAACCACTTAAGTGATTCAACAGTGTCATCAAATAAAAGTGCAGCAGCAAAAATTATTGCTTGATTGTGGTGGTTCACTCCTATGAACTGTAAGAATGGCTGAAGATCTTTATTCATTTGGTAACTTGTGTCTAAAAAAACCACATCACCAAAATGATCATAGTCCACTACCATTTTATCATCAGCCCAGAATATGTTACTTACTTTGTCATTAATATCAACCTGAATGCTATGAATGAATGATGGATTTTCAATATGCTGCCTCTGGAAATAATGCAGCAAACGTCCTGCCTCCCCCTCCTTCATATCTCTAGTCCTTTCAGACCGCAGGGAATTGTCAAAATCCATGGGCAGTTGATCAAGAGATTGCCAAGCTTCAAATTGTCTGTTCACCAGTTCAAAGGTTGAACTTGATTCTGTACCTGAATTACTAGGCAAGTCACCTTCGGCAGCTTGATCAACATGTATTTCCCTCCATAATAGTTGTGATTCAGCATTACTTGGGTATATATTATCATGATTATGCTCTGCCTCAAAATGCGTCACTCTGTATTTGCCATCAGGCTGGCAAGTGACAATCATGTGAGCCAAGCAACCAGTTCTTGTTTCTTTCCTGTATTTCTTCACACTAAGATCTCTCTTGTCTTTCCGCCGGTAACCTTCCTTAGAGCAAGTAAACTTTCTAGATACCACTAGACCATGCACCTTACTCCTATTCACCCAATTTTTTCGAACACTGAAGCCTACTGTTTTGGCACGCTTGTTGTAAAATCTATAAACATGTTCATCCGATTCAAACTCTCTGCCAATTTTTAGTACCCCACCTCTATTAACACCATCTTTCGATGAGTTACTGAACTGGGATGAATTGACCATTGCAAAATTCAGACTACGACAGTCCTGATCTAAGTTCAAGTCCAACTTATCTGACTTATGAAGCCGGATTGCCATGCTGTTATCACTCATCTCAAGGACTACCTAATTCTTCATCATCTCTACTCCTTGACCTGCAGGAAACAGGAAGAAATACCGACAATAACATAGAGACATTACAAAAAAGAAAGATACAAAGACAACCATTAGCTCACTCCAACAGAAATCACAACTGGCAAAACGATCACAGTTCTTGAACTACAATCATCATCTGCCCATGACAACATGCAAAAAACACATGGAGTTTTTACATTCAATTCAAACTAAAAATCCTATCTAACATTATCAAAACAAGAAAAAAAGAGTCCATCTATATTTTATAAATTCATTAAAAATCTCTTAGCTGTGAAATTAAATAGCAAAACTAAATTTATTGAACTCTTTCTTGACAAATATACTCTAAAAATTCCACTGTCACTGAAATTATCATCACCAGTACTAATAAAGGATATAATAATACTAATAACATAAGAAAATATAAATTCTCTTGACTTGAAACTAACTACAACACAATACAATATACACTCGAAAGGGTCTCTAATTCTCAAAATGGGCATTGTTTGCAACTAAAAACAAACCCATTTCTTAAAGCAAAGTATGAAACTTAAAAAACAAAAAAAAAATAGAGTTTTGATAGATAAGAAGCAACATTTCTATAAATTGCTAGACATGCAGAGAGAAAAAAGAAAAGAAAAAAAAATTGTGTACCTTTAGAAGGGTTTTGGGGGTTTCAAAGGTTCAAAATCCTAGAGGGTTTTTGATAGAGAGAAAGAGAGGGAGAGGGGTTTGCTTTGGACTTGGAATTTTAGGGAAAAGTCATGCTTAGGACCCTTTTTAGTTCTTGCCTGAAACAGAAAGCCAATAGGCATCAGTAAGGTCTCCTGAACCCGAGGAGTTAGGGGTGTAGAAGTTTGGGGTGTTGATGTAATTTACCCAAAAGCCATCTTTCTTTTTTTTCGCTCCTTTTTTATTATTATTTACTTTCCCTTCTTTCTCTCTCTATCTATCGGAGAAATTTGGTGTGATTTTTGGAAGTTATTTCTTGATTTGATGATTCAAGGAAAATCATAACTGTATATAATTGAAAATATTTTTTGTTTATTTTTATTTAATATGTGTTTGATAATATGATTAAAAGTATTTTTTTATTTGAGAAAAACTCAAGTTGATATATTTTTATTTAATTTTAGATGATTTTGTTATGAAAATATCAGTATTATTAAAAAAAATTCATGAAAAATTTTTTATTTTATTTTTTAAAATAAAAATTATTTAAAAAATCCAAACATCAATTTCAAATGATACCTTAGTATTTGTTTTTAAGTAGAAAAATAGAACTTTTAACTACTAACTTGCTACATATAAATTATTTCATGTACATTATACATAAAAATATATACAAGTTAAATTTATTTTTTTCATAAGTTATGTAAAAATAAATTTTAGCATTGTAAATTAAAGTAAAATTTTTTATCTTTTATAAATTCATATCAAACATAAAGTTCCTCCATTAAAAAACTATATCATAATATATGTAAGGAAAAAAAATTATAAACACAATATTTAATGTTGAAATTGTAAAAAAATCTCATACAAAAATTGGATATCCTATAATTGCATCCTAGGCCGGGCTTCTCCTAGGTTGACAGGTTGATTGATGATTAGGTTATTTTTGTGGAAAAAAAAATTCTTAAAAAATAAAAGATTTTTTTATGTTTAAGTCACTAGATAAATAAATAAAAATGAATAAGAAGGGAAGAAATAAAACAAAGGTTAGGAAATGTGTTTTTGTGTGGCCTAGAAATTGTATGACCACAAGTAGTGTGGTCAGTTTTCATGGTGTAGCTCTGGTTGGCTTTTGCATGGATGCCTCGTATGTCTAGAGTGGCCTTGGCTAGCTAGAATGGGAAATGACCTTTCACTGGTTTTTATGGGTTTTTATGTTTGGATTTTATTGCTTACTTGGTTGTAGGAGTGTATTTATATGTGCACGACTTGGAATTTATTCATAAAAATCTTACGTTTTCATATCATAAATAACTACAAAAATCATCACAATATTAAAGACACATTAAATAAATAAAATAAACATACATCTTTGAAAAAGAAAAAAAAATCCTCGATTAAAATTTAAAATAGTGATGTTAGAAGATTTTCATTAGCTTGAAATACCATTGAAACAATTAGTGACTGAAATTGATTTATTTGCATGCAATCCAATGTGACAGAACATATATATAATACAGTCAAGATGTACTAGTAGAATTATACAATTAACACGGTAATTACATGTTAATCATTATTTAATTTAATGTTTCCATGTGAAATCCCTGTTCACCATTTTAATATATCATGAAGCCATCTTCGATCGCCCCTTGTTTTGTTTCGGATAATTTCAATGAGTTCTATTGTTAATCAGTATTTAATTTAATGTTTCTACTATTTGTTTGCAGTGCTACGTACGAGCATGTAATTACTATATATCAAGTAGTCACAATTACGATATATAGAAAATGTGTTTTATTTATTAATCAGCATGAAGCTTCTGCTTGGTTACAGATCATCGGGACACATTTGAAAGAGAAAAGGAAGATTGATGGATCATAAACTTCAATGGTTGAAGTTCCAATTACACTAATATTCTTTTCACTCTTTTGCCGACAGCTTCATGCTTGTCTTGTACCTGCAAAGAGACGATAGACATAAATTATTATTATTATTATTAAAAAAAAATCCAAGTGAAACTACTATATATGATAAGGGATGGATAATTCATGCTTAGATATGAATGTTGGACCATATTATATATTTTAATTGCTAAGAACAGTTGGTACAGAGAGTAAAATTGTTTTCGTCGACAAGAGCCATCACTTTTTTAAAAGGAAAAAAAACCAAGAAACTCATAGCTTAAATTATTATAATATTTCTCTCTTTTATATTCTTTGAAGTGATACTTATTAAAACTTAAAATTCACATAGTGTTTAATGTATTAATAATTTAATTAAATAAAATAAAAATAGTAAGATATAAACTTAAAATAAAAATAATGAGATATAAACTTGTAATTGGATTATTAAAGTTAAAATATTTAAATACTATATTAAAAAATTATCTAAACTTAAAAGTTTTATATACACAATTGCTTTTGAGATTTTAAGTAATATTACCAATATCTTCCTAGCAATTTAATTTTAAAAATTTTATTTTCGAACTTCATACCTGCTCTAGTTACCGCAAGTGATAGGTGGAAGATTGCACTGAGAAGGGAGGCGAGCCGCAATCTGGAGAGTGTTGCAGAGGCAGTCATGTTGCACTGCACCAAGAGCATTACAACAATCAGTACTAGGGTTGGTGTTCGGTGCACCAGGAACCACAAATGGTGCACAGACATTCAGGCTGTTAAGCTGGGATGTGCATATCTGCGAGTGAGCCAGTTGAGTCTGCACTGCAAGTGCAATGAGCAAGAGAAGCAGGGCTGCTGGGGAGCTAAGAGACTTGAGTGGTGCCATGTTTGCTTATCTAACAATTTGTGACGACTAAATTCCTAGAGCTTCTGTATGATTGCTAGCTAGCTTGCTTTGATATCTCATTATGCTAATCTGTGCCTTACTTTATAGTTTGAGCTTGGCTAGATATAGTTGATCTTTTACATGACTCACCTAACAGAAGCTTTGAGCTCGTAACAAATGTGTTGAATTCAATATTGTAGTTAGATCATCAAGTTTATGTGTAAGAAAAGTGCCCAGCAGAAAACATGTTCTTGATTTGGGCACAAGCCCATTTCCATGGAGGTAAATACAAAACTTGAAACAAGAGGCTAGGCACTTTGTGTCCAATTCAAGAGGAGCAGCATAATTTTTAGAGTTTATATGATGAATTGGTTGAGCTTTAACTATTCGAAGAAAGAATCATATTTGAGAGATCAGAGAAAAGAAATGTAAACAGAAAACAAAGCAAATGGAAATGAAGCTCCTTAGGAAGATGTGGTGGACTCATGTCGGCCTCCAGCAGGAGCTGTCCAGTAGGTCTTGATAGCAAAAAGAAGCTTTTCCCTCTGATGAGGTCCATCTTCGTGATCAATAATTTGACTATCCCAGTTCAATCCATCACTTATTTTCTTGATCTTCACCAACATATCAACATCATCTCTAAAGATTACACTTCCTTCAGGCCTCAGAATCCTATCCATCTCTAGCAAGATATCCTCCATTTCACATCTGTAACAAAAATCCATGTCGGATAATATTCATCAAAATATTTCCCATTTAGTTATTCCACAATTCTATCGTGTGTGTGTGTGTGTATGAAAAATAAATTATAAAATTAATAATTAAAGAGCAATTTTTTTGCTCTCCTAACTAGACCCTTATCCTGTAGAGTCCCCACAAGACCATGTGTTCGGTACATGCCTCACATGGATTTTATTTTATTTTATATTTTTCATATTAGTGTAACAGCGTTGCTGACCATGATTCTGCTATTTTGGAACAGGAAAAGCAACAAATCTGTCCGATCATAACATAGAAAAATAATTAATTACCTGCCATCATAGAGGCTAAATACAGAATCAGCATGGATTAAGTCATAAGTCCTTGGATACGTAGACATGGCTTCACACCTGTAAAAGAAAAGAAATCATAAGTTAACCACTTGGTTTTAAATATTATAACTCTAACCAAACCAGATTAGTTTATGTTCGATGTCCGCTTACCAGTCCTGATATGTTCCAATTAATCCTCGTTCATATATTACTCCAAGGGTGTTAACCTTAGCTTGGATAGGAACCACATTCATAACCCAAACAGGGTCCTCACTAAGAGCAGCAGCGAATCCACCCAGGTAAGCGTTCGTGTCCAAAATGTTGCGGTACCTACCAGCTTGTTCTAATTGGTTATTTACAGCTTTATAATAAGACACTCTCCTATTCCATAGAACTGTATCTTTCTGGAAAGTCTCAGCTGTAATTCCTTCCAAAGTTCCCCTACTAATCCTTGGTGGCACAGCATTCAATCTCTCAGGCCATTTCGGCAATTCCCCGCCGGCAACGTCTTCCTTGTTAGCTACCTCAGGCAAGTGAGTCAAACATGTTTCCATGTTTGTGTACCTGAAAAATGGAATGGAATTGATCAAGATGCATGGAACATACAAGAAAATCTAATTTTTTTAATGTGTTGAAAAGCACACGTATGTACCAGGCTTTTTCAGGATCCTGAGCAGAACAGAAGGGTAGATTTTGTGTAATCTTCCTGTTAACCTTACATTTCAAGTGATTGATTGGTTTTTCCCAAATAGCAATGTCTGCTTTCTCCACAAATTTTCTCCAACATAAGCTTTTAGCCACAGCCTCAATTTTCATCTGTTCATCATTCAAATCACCTTTTGTTCTTTCCCAGCCCTTCCAACGTTTTTTCCAATTAATTGGAGGACCAGACAAAATCCAATACCCACCAGGTCTTAGAACTCGATCAACTTCAATCAAATATTGTCCTCCTGTTCCATACCGAGAAGAAAAAAAAATCCTTTTAGATTCAACCACTGCACTATCAAGCACAGAATTTTGTTTTAGATAATTAGATTTGATTTAAGGTATACGCATATGTACCGGATTCGGCCCATGGAATAAGGCAACGAGAGCAATGTGCCATGTCAAAAGCTCTAGACGGGTATGGCAGCCTTTTTGAGGCCAAAATTCCGATCAAGGCAGGAACTCCTCGTTCTAGGGCAAATTGCACTTGTGCTTCGTGAGTGTCCCTCGGTGCAAATGACATTGTTAAGACATTGCGTGACAGAAGATATGCTCCCCAACTTGCAACCTGCACTAGTCCTAACAAAGTTCAGGGACTAGAAAATTTATAAGGTTTAAAATAGTTCCATAGTTTAAGAATATTCCAACTCAGATTTGCAAATTCATTAACCTCAAGAAAAGAGTGATATACAAAGATTCTTGCCGAAATCATTTTCCCGAGATAATCTAATCCATTGATGATTGAGTTTTACTGGTCGATATCAAATCGAGCGGTCTAAATTATCTAGAAAGTGATTTTTGGGGGAAATAAATAATTAATTAAAAAATCAAACGGCCTAAATTATACTTTGGATTGTCTTTGACTAGCTAAGAGAGCTATATTTCTCGACTTCTTAAAGCTTTATTTAGTAGTGAATCAAATCTCATTAATTACTCATATTTTCAACGATAACTATATTTCAAGAATGAAAGGTAACAAATTCAATGAAAATTCCATATTTGTCTCATCTCCTTGATTCACTTGCACAAAAAAAAAAAATTGACTGCTCATCAAAAAAACAAAAAAGAAATTCAAAAACCAAGGCTCTTAACCCTAATGTTAGATCCATATCCCACAATTAATAAATGGTTAATTACAAATCCAGCTGGTTAATTTGGCCACAGAAACTTTGTAACGTTTCGAAACATGGAGTCACATATACCAATGTCATATACTTAAATTTCTAAACACCGTTACAAGACTTTAAAATCCAATCAATGGGTGCTTATCTAGGAACATGAAAAGACTTCATCTTAATTTGTTTTTATCTTCACTATCTTTAAGAATAAAAACATTTTAAAATTCAAAATATCGGAAGCAAAATGAAAATAAAATATTAATTTAATAAGCTACGATTAAAGAAATCATAAAAGAAAGTAAAATATGTGTAGAGATTAAGGATCAATTGAGCTTAATTACCCCACAACCAGTATCAATGGCAGTCCTAATAGACCCATCTTTGAGATTGATCAATCTTCCAATATCATCAATATAAGCATCGGCACCATTAGGAAACATAGTCCCCCCACCAGGGAATCTAAACCGATCACCTGCAAATCTGATCCAGTTTTGCCCTGCCTTCTCCACCGTTAGATGCTTGTGTGGCACGTTATTGTACCAAGCAAAATCCCTACTAGCAGGCCATTTAAAAGGGTTCTTGTACCCGTGTGGAGCTGGTATACGACACTTTAGTATCTCATGTTTCTCTGGACAATGCCTTTCTCTACATATCAATTGGTGCCTCTTGAATCTCAATGATCTTTTTGCATCCTCACACGGTGTGTATTCGCTGAAGTTCACGTTGCATGATGGGTAGCTTTTGACTTCTGATGTTAACGTGAAATCTAAATCATCTGCCTTGTGGTGGGATGAAAAGTCAAGGGGCTTCCCCCCTCTTGTTGCAGCGGTGGTGGCTTTTGAGGGGTTACATGGGATTGAAACAATGGTGCTGGTGGTGGCAGTAGCGGCGCTCTTGTTAACGGATAAGACGCCGCCGCCACCTTCGTGGCGCCACACACCAAAGAGATAAGAGAAGGTGCAAAGGAAAAGAAGGAGGGCTAAGGTGTAGAGATTGGTTTTCTTGAAGAAGAAAGGGCTGTTGGCAGCGAAGTGTTTGTGGGGTTTGAAGGTGGCGCCATGGTATTGTTGATTAGGACTAGCCATGGCTAGCTAGGCAGATTCTCCCGGGCTGGATTTTTTTCTTAGTGAATGTTTCTTTCTCTCAATAAAACCCTCTATTTATTGTGGTCTGGGAGAGTTCAAGAGAAAAAGGGTTGAAGGGCGATAGGTTATGAATCAAGTTGATCATATGATGCACGAATATTATAGCTCTAAAATGGAAAGAGAGATCATATTATAATAAATGGTACTGATTTCGTTTACTTCAATAAAAGAATGGGAGAGTAAGTGGGTGGGCTAGGCTGAGAAATGTGCATTTTGGCCAGTTGAACACATCGCGCCGCACCCTGTTTCTTACTAGAAATTCACAACCTGTTTCCTCAACAAATAAATTACTAGAAAATCACAACCTGTTTCAGCCATTGGAGCCCTTCCAAGAGCTCACCTAGTTCTCTATAATTATTACATTAGCATATGGAGATATTCTTGAAGGTTCAATGTTCGGAGTGGAGTTATCACTGTACAAGTCCGTACCCTCTTGCATTCTCATATACACACACACACACACTACTAAAGTTTCCGGCAAAAGCTTAATAAAAAATTGCAGGTCATTGCTGCTACGTACTTCTACTCTATATTCAAGAAAAACATTTTTCGTGAATATATAAATTCATATATCAGTTGTATTTTTATAAGATTTAAAATGAATAATTAATTTCAGTACATAAAACTTCGTACTTATGAATAATTAAAACTCTTTGTTCTAGAATGATTTCTTGATTAATTAAGGCTAATTTTTATTTTTATTTTTTTGGGGGGGGGGTAATTAATTAAGTTGAGAATTAGTGAATAGATGAGGTGCTCATTTGAGGCTGTTTTAAGGAAATTAGAAGAAAATGAAGGAAAATGTTTGCAATGACAGCACAAGAGTGACCATATTCACAACTTCATATCCGTGGAATCAAAAGTGTAATTAAGCAATTGATTGATATTGTGTTTTAAAACAAGGATTGGTTAAATTTTAGTTTTTTTTGTTTAAAATTAATTTTTTTATGTTTTTTAATCATTTCAATGTATTAAAATTAAAAATATTTTTTTAAAAATAGAAATATATTATTTTAATATACTTCTTAGTAAAAATAATTTTAAAAAATATTTATTTATGTACTCTCAATCAACCCTGAATTGGGGAAGAGGCAATGGGCAATAGAATGGAGTTTGGATTAAAAGTATGAACTGCAAATTGGAATTAACAATAGATAACGTCAATGCAACGATAATGTCTACAATACGATGTTGGACTCTGTCGGTTTAAACAATTTGCAGGAGGTAATTCCCACCGCTTAATAATTAGCTGCTATTTTATTTGTTTATTTTCATGATTAATTCCACGAGTAATTTAATTAAATATTAACAGTTTACTCTGTACATGGACGGGGTCGTTTTAACTGATTGTATAAAAAGTAGGGCACCACGTTAATATATTATTTTAATAATTTTTTTAAGAAATTTGTTTGGTGTCTCTCTAACATTTGAAAGTATAATAATTATTCTTTTTAAAGTGTTTTTATTTAGAAAAATATTAAAATAATATTTTTTTATTTTTAAAATTTTATTTTTAACAATAGTATATTAAAATAATCCAAAAACACTGTAAAAAATTAATTTAAAATAAAAAAATAAAATCTTCACAAAAAACCAAATTAAAACTCACACTCAAACACCTCTGATATGTTGAAGATTGCACTAGAGTATGGTCGTTAACTTCAGGGCTTGTGGGATTAGTCGTGGTGCGCGTAAGCTAACCCGGATATCCACATTAATCTAAAAAAAAAAAAAAAATTGCACTAGAGTGTACAATATTTTATGTCATGTGACAGTTCACATAAAGAAATCAACAACTATATATGTTAATAAATATATAAGTAAAAAAATCATAAATAATGATTAAAAATTAAAATTAAAAAAATCAAGAAATAAATATAAATTAAAATATTTAATTTTTAGGTTTAGTTAACCTAAATTAAGTAGAATTGATCCAGTACACTATCATCTTAATATTTTTTTTTTAATTTGATCAATGCTTGGTTAATCTAGATTTTTGACCGGTCAATTATTTTTTTTTAATTCAAATTGATTTAAGCTCGAATGAACCCACCAGCGCTATCTAATAATGCTAAATGCATTGGCCGTGGGGATTAGTCGTGGTGCGCGTAAGCTGGCCCGGACACTCCACGTTCATCAAAAAAACAAAAAAAAAATAATGCTAAATGCACAAATATATGAGGCCAAATCATGTGTGAATTTTTTATCACATTATGGAGGAGAAAGAAACATAATGATATATAAATTTTATTATTATTATTATAGTTATAGTTATTATTATTACTATAGTGTTTCTATATGAAGAATACCACCGTGTAAATTTTATTCTTTGAAAAACAAAATTTCCAAGGATGATTTCTCATTTCATTGTAATATTGTTTCTTATTCTGTCACGGCATATTTTTATTCTAATTAAATATTATTTTCCATATTCCATATATCGCATATCTCATAGATTCTGTTTTTTTTTTCTACAAGAAGATATTATTCAAAACAAATCCAAACTGTACCATTAATATAAAGTGGAACAGTTACTTTTGAAGGAAAACTAGACATTTAAAAATGTGAGATGGAAATTAAAAAATTATATTTAAATAATTCCTGAGCCTTCGTTTTCCAAAACTTTAATAGAGTGTTATTATAAAATACTTTTAAGAATAATTTCAAATGACAGAAAAATATATTAATTATAAAAATTTTATTTAGGAACGATTTTTGTTTTAAAAAATTATATTATACTGTTTTTGTTATTTTTTAAATACAATTTATTTTTTATTTCTTATGAAAATAATAAATTATTTTTATTTAGTATTAATTAAATTAATACTCTATTTTTCTTAAAAAAAATATCTATCAGTGATATGTTAACAAAAACTAAAAATGTTTAAGGTTTGTGCTGTTTTATATAAACAGTGAACCACCTGACTATTTTTTTAATAGTTTAAAAAAAGCTTTAATTGTATTATTTTATGGTTTAATTATATGAAATTAAAGTCTAAATTAAAAACAAAAAAAAAATCAAGGCTCACCGTAAATTCATCACAATTTTTATTTTAGTAAAAAAAAATTATTTATTTTTATTCCATAAGTTAAGGAGAAGAGAGAGAAAGGTACCTAAAAATGGAAATTGAAACAAAATGATTGATGTTGCAGTATCAACTAAAAGGATCAAATTTGGTGTTAATAGCTTTTATGAGAAGAGTTTAATGATATTATATTTCTTTTATAAGTATATTTGAAAAATAAAATCAAGTTTTGTTTTAATTTTTTAGATTTGGATATCCTGAATTAGTCAAAATTTATCTATTAAATTATTTTTTTAATTTTTTTTAATATTAGCTTTAATTTTTTTTAAAAAAATAAAATTGTTTAGGTTACCTTTAAACATGTACATTTAATTTTTTTATATATTAATTGTTTTTATTTTTTTTGTTTGTCTTAAATAAACAATATTAACCGATTCACTCTCACTTAATGTAATTGAAAATTCAAAATTAGCAAGGACTCAAGTCAAGGTGTTTTAAATTTAACTCATTAAATTAAATTTAATAATAATATCAATGAATTTCCTGCAACTTGAATTATTATTTTTTCACATTTAAAATTGCACTAGAAAATACATAAAACGAATCGGATGCCAGGCCATGCTTGGAAATTGGAAGTTGGCCACGTAAGCTTACATGTGGGCTGACTTTGAAGTTATGGGGATTACAAAAGCTCAGCCCATAAGTAACTTAGTCTGTCCTGTTGTTGCAAACAATGAGCCCATATAAAGAAGTTATTGGGCTTATGAATTATTTTTGTGCCTTTTGCGACCCGTATTTTTGGAGACCCGACCCAATTACAATGCATTCACTCTCTATGGCATGTTTGGCATGGAGGAAAAATTGTAAGGGTATTTGTTAAAACTGGCAAACATAGACATAGAGCATATCGAATAAATAAATAAACATGCCATGATTATATTTTGACACAAAATAATAATAACCATGTAATTGGTAATGTGATGTGAATGTTTTTAAATTGAAAATAATTAAAATAAATTTTTTTATATCTTTTTTAATTTTTTATATTAGTAAAATTATAAAAAATCAATTTAAAATATTTTTAAATAAAAAAACTTTTAAAAATAGGTTAACAGTAAAACCCAAAGCTTGGGTGTCGACATTAAATGCACTGCCCACTTCGCTGAGCCCTTGGTCCTGTGGATAAGATAAGACTGGAATAGCTGCTGATCGCTAGACAGGATTTGATGCTTGTTTGATCTGGAAACTTGGTTTGGGGATTTTAGTCCTTCAGTGTTCTTAAAGCAAGACGAAGAAACAACGCCCCCTAGTCGGAACTAACTGCTCGATTAATTACTAATAAAAAGGGAAATAATTGAAAAAAGAGTTGAAGCGATCATAATGCTGAAATCAAGTTATATTGAAGCTAACAGCTTTTTATTTTGTGAAGATCTAAGACATATTATAGCAGGCCGAAATTACAATCTTCTTTTTGGAACAAGAAGCAGAGGTTGCTCCTTCTGCAAAACAACACCAAACTTATCCTTCATGTCTAACTTTGCAGGATCCTCACCGTTGGGAAGTGACCAGTCAAAACAACGGATCAAAGAGGCTAAAATCAAGGGGACAAGTTTGTTGGCCAAGGGTAATCCAGGGCAGATTCTTCTTCCAGCACCGAATGGAAGAAACTCGTAGTTGCCACCTTTGAAGTCCAAATTTGAGCCGAGAAACCTGTCAGGTTTAAATGATAATGGGTCGTCCCAGGTCGACGGATCACGGCTAATTGCCCAAACATTCACAAGAACTTGAGAATCCTTCGGAACTGTGTACTTCATAACCTCACAGGTCTCGGCAGCGCGATGTGGAACAAGCAATGGCACAGGAGGGTGTAACCTCAAGGTTTCCTTTATACATGCGTCTAGATATGGAAGCTGAGAGATATCAGATTCAGAAATTGTATTCTTTGTGATTTCTCTTTCCAGCTCTTCGTCAACTTTCTTCATAACTTCTTTGTTCTTCAGTATCTCGGCCACTGCCCACTCTA